TGTGTGTGTGTGTGTGTGTGCGTATGTGTGTGTGAGTGTGTGTGTGTGTGTGTGTGTGTGTGTGTGTGAGTGTGTGAGTGTGCGTGCGTGCGTGCACCTGTGCATGTGTGTGAGTGGTACCTACCTCCTTCTGACAAGTCCTGTGTTTCTCTTGGGTTATGGCCAGCTCTAGCTCTATCTGATGGAACTGCTCCTGTAGCGCGCTCATCTCCAGGCTGCTCTGCTGCGACACTTTGTTCAGCTGTGAGTGCTCTCCCTTCAACAACTCTAGCTCCTCCTCGATACGCACCAGCTGGGGAGAGAACAAAGTCCCTGGTCCTTTGGTGGGTTTGTTATTGTAACAGTTATTGTAATTATTATTGTAATTGTTTTTGTCATTGTTACAGGAATTGTTATTGTCATTTATTGTAATTGTTACTGGAATTGTTACTGGAATTGTTGTTATTGTGATTGTAATGGTTGGTGGTTTAGTTTAGATTTAGTAAGAGTTTTACTGCACTTGCAACACGAATAGAAGTGCCCAAGATTCGAAGTGTTGTATTTGTATGTGTTCAATACTCTTATCGATTCGATTTAAATAATTTAAACATTATTCTTATAAGAGTTTTAAGTCACTTGCAACCCAAACAGGTCATACAAGTGTCAAAGATTAGAGGCATCACTAGAGAGCAGTATACAAAGAAAAGTAGGAGCTAACCTCACTGGAGCACCCGACAACCACCCACTGAAAGAAGCCACAGTCCCAGTACGCTTAGTAGGTTATTTTTTTGTTATTGTGATTGTAAGGCATTTAACATAATTCAGATCAATTAGTTTTAGTTTTACAGCACTTGAGACACAAATGAGTCATATATGTGTTGAAGATTAGAGGTAGTAACATACAAAGAAAAGAAGGAAGAGAGATAAGGACAACAACTGTTTTATAGGAAAGGAGTGAACCACATCAGAGCACCCATCAACCACCTAAACACTGACCTCATTGTAGCAGGCCGAGTGCTGACTCTGAGACTCCATCAGATCTTCCTGCAGCTGTTTGATACAGTCTTCCTTACGACACAGCTGTTGACACACACAGGAGATTAATGATAATAATAATAAAAATAATAATAATAATAATAATAATAATAATAATGATGATGACGATAATAATGATAATAATAATAACAATAATAGTTGCGTTGCATTTATAAAGTTCATTTGCAAATGAATGGTATAAGTGCAACTACTATGCTTAACAAAGAGAACCTTCTGTACTTTAACAACCTTCTGTGAAATCCGTACAATTTGTGAAAGGTAAATGATAATTGAAAGAGATCAGAAATAAAAAGGGTGAGGAAAAAGTCAGATCTGACGTAGTCTTTCAAATTAATTGCATGTTGTACTCTGAAAGTCCGGGTGCGACTTGTATTAGTTTTTAGTAAGAGTTTCACAGCACTAATGCAAAGCAAATAGATCATATAAGTGCCAGAGATTAGAGGTGTTATTAGAGAGTAACAAATACAAAAAAGGAGCAGAGATAAGGGAGACAGATGCTGGATAAGAAAGAAGGAGCAGACCACACCAGAGCACCCTCCAACCACCCATCAATATCCCTCCTGTAACTAACAAATCTTCCTTGGCCCTCGAACTACTCACGTCCTCATCTCCTCTCTTCCGCAGCTCATCCAGGTCCTGGTGACATTGGCTCAAGGTCGCCTGCAGCTTCTTGATCAGCTCTGACTGCTTGGCAATCTACACACGTACACAGACGACGGGTGGCAAGGAGGGAATGAGAGAGGAGAAACACAAATCAGGTCTGTCAATTCTTTAGTCTTAGTGTGAGTTCTACAGCACTAGCAACAAAAATAGGTCAAAGAAGTAACATACAAAGAAAAGAAGGAGGAGAGATAAGGTCGATAGGACAAACACGTTGACACAAACGTCAATTAGCGCTGGGGAAAAGAAAGAGAGGCACATTATTGGGACAATGAAGAAGTAGGACCTACCACTGACACCCTCCAACCACCTACACAGACAGACAGACAGGCAGACAGACAGACAGAGACTATTAGTCAACTCAACTGAAGAAAAGAAATGCAGTCACAAATATTGGCAATAGACGTTTAGTCAAAACAGATGTAATCTGTGGGAAATAGTAACATCTCTCTGAACCAAATGGCTCTGAATTTAGCAGTAAAAGTTTTACAGCACGTGCAACACAATAAGGTCATATAAGTGTCGAAGATAAGAGGTGTTACAAGAAAGTAACAAACACAAAAAAAGGAGGGGAGATAAGGATGATAGATGTCTGATAAGGAAAGAAGCAAGCCAAACCAGAGCACCCGCTAACCACCCACACAACTGGCTCTGTGATCTGAGCAAGAAAAAAATCTGAGGATCTGAGTGAGAAAAAATTGGCAAAAGAGGAATATCAATCACATCAGGGCATAAAGCTACATTAATCAAAGTCTAGATAGACAATAGAGGAACCTCATTTCACACAAAAACAATATTTCAACGGATCAGTGGTCAGAGGTTTGATAGACAGGTATCAGGTCTGGGTATCTTCTGGACATGGAGTGCGGGACATATCATGTGTTCCCGTTCCTTTTTTAATCATTCGGTTTGGCCCGAAATTACGTACTCGGACATGCATCTCAAACACAAAATAAATTGAACAAATTGACTTTGAAAACAATCCATGTCTAGGATCAATCTTCTCATGAATAATTTATCATAAGCTAAACACTGGAAGCAGGATGATTCTTTACCTCATGGTGTGTGTGTGTGGGGGGGGGGGGTGTTGTTGTTTGTTACAATGGTAAAACTAGTGAAATGTCAAGATGCTTGGATCATTCAGGCACATTGGGGAGTCTGGGGGGATTACTGAGGGGGAGGGAGAAAGTGGAGGCGGGTGGGAAGGAGACAAGGCATGTGGGAGGGTGAGAGGTGTGGGGGTTACATAAAGGGGAAGAAAACACAGAGGACAAGATGCATTAGACACAAAGATGGGGGAGAGGAGAGGTGGTTTGGGAGGTGGGTAGGCTAAG